GGGCCTAGAACAAATAAGCCCTGAGGGGGGGGGGGGGAGGTTAGTGGGAAAGGTTCCTACTGTTTGTTTTTTCCTTTCTTTCACTTTTTCTCTTTCTTTCAATTCTTTAATTCATCTCGTATTTAATGCTGTGTTACGTTCCAATACGGCGGTAGAGTTAGTTTATTTTATTAAATAATTAATGATGGTAATTGAACTGAGTGGAGTGCAATTTGGTCTGAAATCAAACGCGCGATTACAAAATTATTTTGTTTTATTTTATTGTTTAAAAATAATAATTTTTTAGGATGCGATTAAGAGCTCCTAAGGATGCAATTTGGGAATTAATCGCACTCCTTTGAACCAATCAGATTGCAGGATTGGTAGTGATTACAAAAAGGATATGATTAAAAAATTAATTACAGTTAGTTTTATGTTCGATCGTTGTGTTTCGTAGTGTCACGAAATCAAACTTTCACAAGCCTCCTTAATGCGAACGAGTACCGCGGACCAGATCAAATGAAGATCGCGTTATTGAGTTGTCCGTATTACACAGGACAGGACTCGGTAGTTTAATGGTGTGTGTCGTAATTTGAAAAAGTCGTTGGACGCAGGCAAGGCTTATGTGATATAAATAAAAGATTCATAGTAGATTTAAATGCCCCAGCTCAAAACATGCTGGTTTTATAAAAGGCTAGATGTCTCGGTAATTACAAGTGCACGTAGTACAAAGGTATTAGAGAGTTTTAGATTGACTTTTTTTCTTCCCGCAAACGGCAATCGTGACAACGTTATCATCGTTTTCTTGTATTTTACTTTACCTCTTGCAAACTTTCTTATGACACACACATATTCTTTTGTTTTTCTACTACTTGGATTTTTTTGCGATTCCTTTTCACTTATTTAAAAGAATTTTTCACTGATCAACTGACGTTACACGTTTGCCGTGAACGTAAATCTAAAACTCTCTATTACTAATATATATCTGAACCGCGCTCTACTCTGAAAACCGCACATGTTTAAACCAATCACAGCGGGCGTAGCGAGGTTAATATATGATTATACTAAATTTAGTAGGTATTTGATTTTTTGAACGACATGAAAAATTATATATTTTTAAATTATTATAAATTAACTTCTTTTGTCTTTTGCCCGAATTCGGAAAAGATAAGTATTATATAAATACTATTTGTGGATACAATTTAGTATTTAGTGCTATTTATAACCATTAATTATCTATGTCATCTGTTAATATGAATGCATGCATCATTTATATAAATCATTCTTTCTATCACTCAAGTATTTAACATTGAATCCAAACAACAGGTAATTAAAAAATAAAATTGTATTGAAACTTTAATATCAATTAAAAGATATTTCATTTGCTTATTACTCTTTTGTTTTTGAATCCAACATGCTTTTCCCCATTAATTTTACTTCAGAATTTTTTCAACTAAATTTACTTTCGTTGTTTCCCAGTAATCACTCCCTTTGCGGTTTACTTCCGTTTATTTTACTTCCGATTAATTCTTACTTCCGTTAACCTTCAGTTATAACCTTCTTGGTTTACTTCCGTTTATTTTACTTCCGTT